CCCCAAAAGACATCAGTTTAATTCATCTTAAACTGCATAATTAACGATAGCGATAATATTACGATACATTTTGTTTAGCCTAACCTTAACCTAAGAGTTTACGATATTTACTTTACGAACCACTTATTGATTAATTTTACTTATATCTGGTTGACGAAAGGAAAAATGATGTTTTCTTTAGTTTACTCTACGTTAAATTATTGGCAATTATCTGATATTCAAAACTTATAACCTCTTTTAAACCGAAAGATTTAGCATTAATTACATTAAAAGTTAAGAAATCGAGGTTATCCTAATTTAATGTGGAATCTGGCGAATATATGTTCAGATAGGTATTATTTATTTCACGGCTATGCCGTACTTACGCAATATCCATCGATGTCAGCAGGCCTGATGACTATGATGAGTAGCTGTAGATCTTAATTTAAATGGAGGAAAATCACATACATATATATGTATATTTGTCAGATTTTCCACAAAGTATGCTAAATCGGAATCGAATAGAATTATAAGTAAATATTCCTAAGCAAGTTTATATAAGTTCTACACTAAGCTACTGATACTGATGATCAATTATGAACACGTTCGATCGTGTCGCGGTTGCTTCAGCGCGGCTGCGCAAGCGGCAAGCAAATTCTTGTTCGGTCAGTTCGGCACAGACAAGTCGAATTCAAAATGGTGCCTCGTGCACGAAGAAGAAGACACACAAAGCCTGTGTGTGTGGCAACGGGGGCACACCAACTCGATGTGGGTTTGGCAAGGGCGGCAGACCAGCACGATGCGGGTGCGGCAAGGGCGGCACACCACTCGGTGTGTGAGGCAGAAGAAGAAGAGTCGGGTGTACGATGAGCTGCTCCTCGCTTCCAACGAAGAAGAAGAAAAAGTGCGACACCAACTCGGGGTGCTCCGATCTGCGCTCTTCTAGCAGCAGAGAGGGGGAAAGCACAGCTTCCCGCTGTGCGCGACGAACGCTCCGTTGCACGCAGATATGAATCTGGCTGCGATTGATGGCGTCAGTAAGGTTCTACAACACGTGGTCGAAAGTCAAGGGCGGAACAATGTGATCAGGCTAGGGCTGCGCTGACAATAAGAGTTCCACGGAAATCCTCAATTCTTGGAATGTGGTACGGCGGCACTTTAGACACTAGCGTAAGAACGCACTCGAAAGCTTACCCTCAATAATTAAAGCAGAAGTTGAGCTAGGCAATGGCAGTATTCACTTTGAGAAAAAAATGACTTTTTATCTCGATGCACGCGGATTAAATTTGTGCTTTACAGAGAAGTTGAACTGCACTCGATCACGCCATCAAGAAAAGAGAACGGAAATGCTCAGATCAAGAGTGACCACAGCTACGATAATCCGTTTTAGGGGATTTTATAGGCATTTTACGAAAAGGAGTATCGATACTCCTTTTTAGCAGGACCGATAGTTTGCTAATCTGGTTCGTTGACAAATAATTAACCAGAAAGTTATGTTTCAGCGTTGCCAATAGGCTTGACTCCCACATATATGAGCCTAAAGGTTTGCTCTATCAACTGGATGAGGCTTTTTTTTTTTGACTCGGGCGCCGAGTGTTCTTTGACAAAAGAAAAATGTTCGAACAAAATTTCTGGGAAAAGAATAATTGGCGATATATTGTGAAGAGTCATCTGCAAATTTTGTCCACTGTTCTATGGTCCAGAATCCGTTTTTTTTTTGCATAAAGTCGATTTTTTTATGTTAATATATAGTTGTTTTCTAATTTTAATCTTAAAGTAAATTCATCATACGTTATAAAACTGTTAATTAAAAGCATTAAATTTGCCACCAACGCTTATTGAGAGCTTTTAAAAGTGCGATTGCGATCAGCTCATTTCCGAATAGAAATTCGCGCCAAAATATTTAGTTGCTTTATGTTGTGTCCGACGCCTTATTTTGGTCCAAAAAATTCAACTAAAATATGGAAAATAATCTTAAACGTATGCACTATTAAATGTAAATTATTATTATATGTTTAGTTCTCCGTATTTAGTGTTGTGTAATGTCCAATTTATGTCTATGTTTTTAGAAAACTAACATGCGTTCTCCGTGTTTCGTGAAATATAACTAATAAGCTGCTCCATGCTGACAGCAACTAATGTATCCAGATTGTACTTATGGGTGTAGTCTTTAACCACAAACAAAAAACTCATCCCCGTTCGTCCCCCTTTTCTAACATTTTGGTAATATACATAGTTTAGTCACAGCATAGTTTATTAAGTGAAGGATTTATTGCAAATTGGATTTAAAAACTGTACAAACGGTTGCTCGGCAGCCAGTATATGCCAAGCTTTTGAATGGTGTGCTTGTTTTTTGAGACTGATTTGTTACAGAGATCTCTTCCCAGTATATGGCTTAGGAGCGCTGAATGGTTCGCTGCTCATTTTTTGAGCTTCAATCCTACCAACTTTATCCTCTTTCAATCTATTTGGATAAAACTACTGATAGTCTTCTTTCTATTGCAGTTAGTATATAAGTCTAAACGGACAGATCGGATAACTATATCGTATAGCTGCCATAGAAACGATCAGTAAAACAGAACTTCATTATTATAATCAATCTCGATTTAAATGATCTTAACTTCCGAATTATAAACTATTTATTAAATTACACTCCCATTGGATTTTTGTTTGCTGACCTTATTTCCACATATAGAGTCAAAGACCCCACGGTGCATTGCTTTATACGTACAAAGTAAAGGAACCAATTTTTGATAGAAAACAAATCAGGAAAACGAAATATGTGTTATATGCAAAAAGTTTGCTAAAGTTTGAATAAATATCCATATATATATGTTTTTTTTTTTATTTTATAAAAATTTTACTTAATTGTATAAACTGTGGACGTGAGAAATCTAGCTTTTTAAGCTGTTTTCCTGTTTAACTAGCCAGTTTTACAATAGGTTTAATAACAAAAGGTTTTTAGTTGCTGATCATAAGAGCGATCCGTTTATGAGTACTTATGACAATCAAGAAAAGTTTTTTGTTTTGGTGTTTTATACTCTCATAGAAGAGTATGCTCAGAAGCGGAAAAAAATATAAGCAAGTTAAATTAGCCATAGCCCGAGGTATGAAATGTTAAAAACTCTACAAAAAAGTATGACAACAAAAATTATTTAATGACTTTTGTATAATCTGAGGGTCTACATTTTCTAAAAATTTCCATCAAAGGGTTGTGTATATTTTTTTTAACTTTGTGACAAAACGGCTAAAGTTAGCTTTATGAATTAAATTAATTAAATTTAAAAAAAATTTTTTGATTTTTGTATTAAAAAATATTTAGAAGTTTATGAATAAGAGGGAATCGGGAGAGTTCCCTTAAAAAAGTTGGTTTTCGGTGTACATCAGAGAGCTGCATTGAGTATGATCGTTCCGGATCGAGCAACAACGCTCAAGCCGATCACAACTCAAAACAGCAGATCGGCACAACATGTTCGTTCGATCTTCGCGAACAAAACGAACGATCTCGTTCAGTTGGCTTGATTGCTCTGCTTACTGATTCAAACTGATTTTTTGGTACCGGTATGATGATCGGAACTGATTGTGCAGAAACAGAACGATCAAGTCCAACGATTCAAAAGAGCTCAGGCTTCATTCATGTTGCGCCTGATTTGATTGTGAATGAAGCAATCAGATTAGACATATACGCCGCCGCGCCACGCCGCCGCCGCCGCCGATTTTTGCCTTATTTGACGCGCCGCCGCCAAATTATGAAAATAACGGCGCGCCGCTGGTGCGGCATCGGCGCAGCACCGGCGCGGCCTTCAGTGTCATTGTTCTTTATAAAACTTAAAAAAAAATAAATAACTCATTAAAATGGCCTTTTTGCCTTATTTGACGCGCCGTCGCCGCCGGTTCTTTCTGACTACTACGCCGCCGCCGCCGAGTCATTTTGACCTCTACGCCGCCGCCTCGTAAACCTCTAAATCAGATCGAGAATCGCCTTGCGAAATGTGTAAAATTTTTTTTTTGAACATATCTACATATATAAATATTTAAATGTTTTAAAGGAAACAAGTTGCGTTTCAACTAACTGATACAAATGACTTCAGTTATTTCTTCATAATTTACTCGTATAACTAAATTTTATGTAATGCAGAAAAAACTTAATATTTAATGGTTATAAATAATAAACAAACAGTCTGCGTCCGAGATTCTGCTAAATTTCGTCAGACTGAACCGAACCACTCGGTATGAGCAAATCAAAACCGGTGTGACCGAACGGTATGATTGCAATCGGCCTGAATGGAAGCAGCAGTCTCGATCATTCTTTGTTGCCCATACAACGCGTACGATCAAAAAAAATCATTCCGAACCAAGTCAAGGGTGATCGGAACTGAATGTTCGCTTCGATCACGCTCGCTAACGATCATTCAATTTTGTTGATGCAAAGTTTTGGCTCAAAAAAAATCCGAGTCAATGATCGGGTATGATCGAAAAAATTTTGATCGTTGCAGCTCTCTGGTGTACATTCTAACTGCCCACAAATTTTGTATTTTTTAATTTTTTCCCCGGTTTCTTATTAAAAATGTAAAGTCAAAACCCCGATTTTTCACTAAATTAGGTTAATTTGTTAAATAAAAAATATAACAAAATTTAAAAAAAAAAGAGCTCGACGTGTACAAGTTACGTTCTAAACTTCAAACCGATTTGTTGAGTAGATTTTGAGTTATTACGAACACCGATTTTCTAAGTGGCATTTTTCTTTAAATTTTGTGATACTCATACGTTGCACACAAAAGTACCTTCGTTCAACTCTGCATAACTTCGTCAATCGAAGTAAAACTTGGACACAATATTTTTAAAAAAATAAACGTTTTAAATAAAAAAAAAATAACCAAAATAAAATGAAATACTTTGTTTACCTGTTATACAATGAAAATATACGCAGTGGTTTTTGACAATATCGCTCAGCTAAATATTAATTTCATTGAAATTTTACATAATATACATTTTAATACATTTTTTTATATTCAACACAGGCTTATATATCTTATGGTGCAACTAATAATAATTGTATAGAGTCTGATTAACATTCCGGTAAGTATTTCTAGTTTTATTAATGGACAATTTAATTATAAATAAGAATTTTAGTATAAGATGTACGATTCGAGGGGCTCTTATTCTGCACCACTTGAAAATGATTCTTCAACATTTGTTCCGCGATATCGGCATTTGAATGGTAAGTATTTTCTAAACTTTTATATGCATTAAGATTGTTTTATCTATCTGGAATAATAAACAAGAAAGGAAGTTAACTTCGGCTCGCTCAAATGTTTATACCGTAGCAGCTTGCAATTGGATTATTAAGAATAGATTCATTTTAGGTAAATGAAAAAAAAAAAAATTAACAGAAGATATAACAATTTTTTTTGATAAAATTTCAAAAACTTTTTTTAATCGTAAAAAAATCTATAATTTGAATTTGAAATATCTGTAAATCTGTGTAAAGAAAAAATAAACAACATCTACATATACATACATATGATATTTACGGTTTTGCACTTACAGTTACTGTTAAAAATACATCTACAGCTTAACGTTTTTCTATTAGTTTCCTCTCGGAAGTGAATTTGATAACATTTGCGGATTTCCCTTTAAGATAAGCGAATTTCCTTTGGTCCCTTTTGTTCCCAAGGAATATCAGCTGGCCGGTATAGACAAACACGTTTGTTTGGCCTGAGTTATATAAAATTAAAGGTACAAGTATTCTTGGCCGTAAAATGTTTATTTGAAATGTTTAAAATTTCAATCATCTGTTTTCGGCGCTGTTCTGGAAATGTTCGATAAGAAGTATTGGAAAACTCATGCGGATGTCACCTGTTTGGCCCGTCCCAATATACCCTTTGTGTATCCTTTGGCAATATCATAATTTTTTCCATAAATAAGCTGAAAATCCCCGCGCTTGATTTTTATGCCCTTGCAGGGTATTATAATTTTAGTCAGAAGTTTACAACGCAGTGAAGGAAACATTTCCGACCCTATAAAGTATATATATTCGTGATCAGCATCAACAACCGAGTCGATCTAGCCATGTCCGTCTGTCCGTCGGTCCGTCTGTCCGTTTCTATGCAAACTAATCCCTCAGTTTTAAAGCTATCTGAATGAAACTTTGCATATAATCTTTTATATACTCTCACTGCTATATATGTCGGAACTGGCCGGATCGGACGACTATATCATATAGCTGCCATACAAATGTTTGATACATTTTTAGAAACAAAATTATAATTTTACTGTTTTTCAACATTTATGCATCATTTTTGACGTTTGGCCATTTTATATTATTTCAGATTTTCGATTTTAATTTCATGAAAATCGGACGACTAAATCTCATAGCTGCTATACGAACGATCGGGAAATTAATAGAAAAAAATTATAACTTCGTTGTTTTTGAACGTATTTTCATCTACTCTGAGATATAGGTTTATTTTATTATTTCAGAATTTTGGTATAAATTTTATGAAAATCGAACAACTATATCATATAGCTGCCATATAAACGATCGGTAGATGTAGAGAAAATGTAAAGCTGGGAGTGCAAAACTGCAACTGTCAAACTGTAAACATAGTAAGTATAGGTAAAATGTAATAAAATAATATCTGCAAGGGTATACAAACTTCGGCGTGCTGAAGTTAGCTTTCTTTCTTGTTATGTTTCCTCCTAATAGAAATTTTTAATTAAGTAAACTTTGGGGCGTTATTTTTACTTACATGGTTGAAATTTAAATTGCGTGTGTTAGTCAGCTGTTCTTAGGCAGTGTTGTAAAATTTTTTACAGGTGGTGTTGTAAAATGCAGCTCATAAAACAGTTGCTGACGCCAAGGAAAAAAAATACCTTTAACATCACGCACAGTTTGTACAATAATTTTGGAGATATTTTGAACAAAAACTATTTTTTTAGAATAAGTTAATAATAGTTCTCATAACAATAGTTTAATTAGTGCAACGATTGTTAAAAATTAACATGAAACATATTCCATCGCTTTTTTTTTGTACACTGACAACTCATAAATGGTCCCTCTCAAATACGACACAGCGGCAGCGGATTTGCAATAATGTTGAAGGTTAGAATCGAACCGATTTTAAGGTGCACCCACAAAAAATTATTTATAAATCAAGTATGTTAGTATTAGCTAATTCAGTTATGCCATAATGTTGCCAAAACATCAAGGAATAAAATACTATTAACATTTGTAATTTACATAATCGCATTTTATTTTAAAATAATTAATTTCTGATGTTGTAATGGCAATCGGAAAGCTTTCGTACGTTTCGCTCACAAAATAACAGAGACTTAACAGAGGGAAATACAAATCCCTAAGAATTTTTCGGAAGTGAACACTAGAAAAGGTCATGGAAATCCGAATCCGAATAAATTCTGCCGAAGTGCAACCAGAATAGGCCTGATAATAGTCCGATTTTATGGCAGCTATTTGATATATTTAGTTGTTCGATCCGGTCCGCTCTTATTTACATACGAGTGAGAGGAGTGGAAAAACTGTCTGCAAAGTTTCAAAGCTTTAAAACTGGGAGACAACTTTGCGTAGGTCAGACGAAGGGACAGACGGACGAACAAACAGACGGATGGACAGACGGACGGACGGACAGACGGAAGGGCGGACAACCGACCTCCTTTACTGCATTTCACACTTCTGATTAAAATTATAACACCCGGCAAGGGTATTAAAACCAGAAGGGAATTTATCTCCTTTAAGAAATAGTTCCACCCACATTGCAATTTGCCTGATTTCTAATAAAAAAAAAATAAATAAAGGAAGCTTATTTGCGCAAGCATTTGAAGTTATAAAAACTTTTATTAGAGTCGAAACGAAATTTAATGTAACATTGATTTCTATATTCTCGAACATTTTTAGTACACATTTTTATACCCTTGCAGGGTATTATAATTTCAGTCAGAAGTTTGCAACGCAGTAAAGGAGACGTTTCCGACCCTATAAAGTATATATATTCTTGATCAGCATCAACAGCCGAGTCGATCTAGCCATGTCCGTCTGTCCGTCTGTCCGTCTGTCCGTCTGTCCGTCTGTCCGTCCGTCTGTCCGTTTCTACGCAAACTAGTCCCTCAGTTTGAAAGCTATCTGAATGAAACTTTGTATATAGTCTTCTATATACTCTCACTGCTATATATGTCGGAACGGGCCGGATCGGACGACTATATCATATAGCTGTCATACAAATGTTCGATATATTTTTAGAAAAAAAATTATAACTTTGCTGTTTTTCAACATTTTTGCACCATTCTTTAGATATGGCCATTTTATATTATTTCAGAATTTTGGTAAAAATTTTATGAAAATCGGACGACTATATGATATTGCTGACATAGTAACGATCGAGAAATAAATAGGAAAAAAATTATAGCTTCGTTGTTTTTCAACGTATGTTTATCTACTCTGAGATATAAGCTTATTTTATTATTCTAGAATTTTGGTATAAATTTCATAAAAATCGGAAAACTATATCATATAGCTGCCATATAAACCGATCGGTAGATGTAGAGAAAATGTAAAGCTGGGAATGCAAAACTGTAACTGTCAAACTGTAAACATAATAAGTATAGGTAAAATGTAATGAAACTCAGTTTAGTGTCTGTTTTCGGCATTATAATTTATAATATAAATATGAAAACCAATCTGCAAGGGTATACAAACTTCGGCGTGCCGAAGTTAGCTTCCTTTCTTGTTTTCTTTGCATTTTTAAGAAGTTTGTAGGAACATTCTGTAATTTAGAAATAGATGGAAATATGTTAAAAAACTACAAAGCAATTTCTTTCTCATTTTACGGTCAGTTCCATAAGTATATATTCGACCTTGTTTAGAAAGACGGGTACCAGAAAATTTTAGGAAATTTCCCCCCCCTTGGAACCTGAAAATGTTAATATCTGGCAGTGTTCCCAACCGATAATACTGTACAATTGGCACTATTGAGTATGAAAACACTCAACGCATGGTGACGTTTTATTTAAATCCGTTTATCTCGCCAAAAACGCCTCAACTTGACTGTTCAATAGAATTATTTTCTGTCACTAAGTTCAATTTCCCACCCCCCAAGAATCGTCTCTGGATCCGCCACTGGACTGGACCAACGATAAAGAGGAAGCAGCAGCATATGATTAAGAAGCTACCGTCGCCTCGGGAGATTGCGGTTGGCGAGGCCTCACAGTGGCGTTGCTTATTTGTTGTTGTACATCACCGTTGGTTAGATTCTGATACAAGCACTCCAGAGTCTTAATTTTTTTGCGCAGCGTCTATACACCGTCTTGAGCTGTCGACTGAAACTCCCAGAATGGTCGACGTCACCACGGTTGCTATTAGCCATCTGCTGTGCTGCCTAGGGCAACACGTGTTGGCCATCATCCTCGAGATGGCTCTGGTGGCCTTAGATGTCTTGGCCGCTGCGTACTCCAGGTGACTTTTGTAAGTTAGCCTGTGGTCGATCTTGACTCCAAGGTACTTGACCGCCGGGCTGGACTCAATGGTAGTAGAGCCGACACGGAAGTTCACCTTCTCTACGGCCTTCCTGCTGCTTTTGAGCACTGCTTCTGTCTTGTGCTCGGCAAGCGAGAGCCTGTTGTCCGCTAGCCTCGACATTAGCATGTCGATCGCATGACTGCACTTCGTAGAAACGTTAGCCAGGTGCTCCTCCACAGTGACCAGCGCTATGTCGTCTGCGAAGCCTACTACAGCAGCCTTCAGGCAGATTCATCCTCAGTATACCTTCATACATGATGTTCTATAGGATTGGCCCAAGGACTGAGCCTTGGGGTACTCCTAATATCACTTGTCATATAATTCGATCGAATATTTTCCCTAGAGTATTTATCATGCTGAGGGGCCGGTATGAAGATGGATATCGTCCAATTTGACCGGCTTCAGAATGAGCACGAGCCTCTGCTGTTTCCAGGCTATTGGAAGAGTCCGTTAGACGATGCATTTGTTGTACACCTTCCCGAACAACTTTGGATGAGACTTTCACTATGGCATGCAGAACTGCATTTGGAATGCCATCTGGTCCTGTGACCTTGGAGGCTTTGCAGCTGGCTAGTGCGATCAGGACCTCCTCTTCACCAATGGGCATCGGTTCCCCGCAGCCACGTTTGGTAGCATTAGGGGCGGCAGAGCTGGGAACAGCGTGGAGACTATTGCTCCCAACTGTTCCT